AGGTTATGCTCATTACATGGAAAGGACAGATCTGCCCTTAGTATTTACATAACAAATAGAACAAAATAAAACTGAAATAACCGACTGACCACCAGCTAACCCTAGGATGACTAGAACACATTCTACCCTACGAACACAGTGGGACCATAGCTGTGGGGCCCACATCAGTGTTCTCTACAGAATTCAAATTCAGTTTTCATTTTTTCAATAACTATTGGATATCGAATTGAATTTGAGTGTTGCTTGATTTGATTTGAATTCACTATGTTTACACCCCTATCAACAAAGGAAGTAGTTGAATTCATTGGTTAAATGGATCATTGTTAGACCTGAAATTAGGAACAACTTGAAATTTGTAAGTTCCAAGTTTTCCTCTTGGATATTTTATATGATGATCAAATCAGTAGAATGTCATTCTTTATCAATCAATTCAGGCATGATCTTGTCCTCAAAGACGTTCTACTAAGCCACTATATTCTATTAATGAGTGCCTTTCAGATTATAGCATGGGAATGGGATGCCATATTTGATGCCTGTGTAAAATGGGATATGTAGATACATTAATACACTTTAGTAATTTAAAGAAGTTATTAAATAATGAAATACAATTATTTTGCTATGGCTTGGTCATGGACAGTGAAGAATATGGATATATTGGTAAGAAGTGCTTTGAAAGGTTAGATATGCTAATATGTTGAGTTGGTTTAAAACAATTTATTAAATAATAACCTTTTTGCAATGGCTCGCACATGTACAATGAAGAATAGCGGATACATCAGTGAGGATTGCTTTTATGCAGGCTCAAGGATCTAAAGGGTTGGTACTTGGTAGAAGATTTACAATGTGGATCAATGTTGTAACAAATCTGGAAAGATGGGATTTGGTGGAACATATTGTCTCTTTATGGGTTGAAATGGCAGACTAATATTTCTATTTTTGACCCAAATGGATAATGCTGATGAATAAGAATTATTATTGGTAATTATGGGTTTATTTATACAGGGGTGGTGATTTTTGATTTTTATTTTACTGATAATAATTTTTAGGATGTCTTATGAATTGCATATCAGTTGATTATAGCATATATGAATGTAGTCTGACATATATTTGTTACTGGTATGGGCCCTAAGGTACTTCTGTTTACAATCTTTTGCAAATGTTGGGTCTATGTCATGCAATTTAAGAAAAAAAAAAGAAAAGGGAAAGCCAAACATATTGAAACCAATCCTTATTGGTGACATGTTTCACTCATTTTACAATAATCCATGCTACATTGACAAGATATATGTGTTTTTATCTTTTGAACTTGGCTTTTCATTTCCTTTTCTCCTTTAGGAAGGCATATGATATGGAATGGTTTTGTTACTTTATTGTCCTTTTCATTTCTTTAATTTTTGTTAAATTCTCATAGCATTTTGATGTGTTTGATTTTGATGGTGCTTTCTATGACTACGTAATTGCTCTTCAGATATTTAAGCATCTTCAGCAAATTCTTGGGAAACCAAATCCAACAAGTGTGAAAGGCTTATATTGGACTATTTTGAGATCAGGGAGAAATGATTGTAGCGTTCATGATTCATCATCAAGGATGCATATCAATATTAAGCTGTCTCGTGCTGTTGATGTCATGCATGAGTGCTTTGAGCCTATCATTGAGCCCCATACAAAAAGAAATATTGTTGGGGATGTTCTTCTCAATAGAGTGTAAGATGTCTATCATTTCTCTATTAGTGTATGTTTATTTCTTCAAGCAAGGATACATATATATGAACAACTATGGCACTCAGGTACTTGTACAAGGGTGTCATGTCATGTTTGATACTTTAATTTTTCAGTATAAATTCTGTAATTGACACCATGCCCAGCAGTCTCCTTTCCATATCTGGGCCACCAATGGTTTGTTGTGGTTAAAATTGTGTGTGTTGCATTCTATGCTTATCATGCTAGCATTTGTTTCTCTATCAAGCCAAGTAGTACTTTGGTGCATAATGGGTTTTTTTAGAACAACAAAAAGATGTTTTTTTTGCTGGAATTATATGTTCAGGGTGCCATATCATGTTTGGTGCTTTTAATTTTTGTCATAATCTATCCTGTTTCTTTTAAGCTCATCATATTTATATTCTTAGTTGCATTCTTTTTTTCTTTTTTGTTTTTTAGAGAAAACTGAATTTCATTAAAGAGAGAGTTGCAATTATGCTCTGCATAGCTGAAATTTGGATTTTGTTCTTTTCTAATGATCTTAATGATGAAGAATCTTATGACTTGGGAAAGACTTAAGATTTCCATTGGCAAGTGATGAGCTCTGGATTTGACAGAATTTCCATTGTTATTCTTTAAAAGATGCTAGGGAATTATAAAGGGTAATCCAATGGTGGTGATGACAATTTTATTTGACTATAATGCTGAGCTTAGTCTTCTCTTTCACCAAAGGGTTGTGTTCAAGGTAGATGGATGAATTTTGTATAAAGTATTATGGTAGTAGTAGAGTGATTTGAGAATCACAAGCAAGAGGCCTGGGGGACTTGATGCAATAGTGACGTTGAGACTTTCTGTAAAATTTGTCCCTGCATAGGGACTTTGTAATTTGTATTCTTTGAAGGGATTCTTTGGAAATATTTCAACATTAACCTAATTAAGGTTATTTGGTCGATTGTAAGGTGATAACCCAGAAAACTCTGTTCTAATGTCTTATGCTCGAGTACTCTGTTTTCTTGAGATCTGAATTTATAACTTAAAGAGATTAAATCCTTGCTGATTAGATCAACGAGGACAGACAGACATGGTATCAGAGCAAAGGCCAAGGGAAAGAAATACAGTTTCTGCATATTGAAGTTTGAATGAGAAAATTGATAGCTATACAGGAATCAAGAAGAAACTGTAAAATTTAAAAACGGATATGGCACGAACAGAATGGCAAAACAGGATTCATGTAGCTTACCCATATAGTTGGAACAAGCCTTTTTGATGATGAATAAGAAATTGTGGATACAAACCTAGGTAACTAAATTGAAGCTAACTTGACTTGTTTTTATTTGTTTTAGTCAAAGGGATTATTTAGGTTTTCTGGAAAATTTGGAGGCTTTTAGGAGAGTTTAGAGGTTGTTTTAATTGGCTTAAGTCTTTTTTTTTTTTTCAAATTCCAGAAGCCAGTCTGGATGACTACATATTTGGAGTTTATAGTTGATTCTAGTTGGGTATGTATCACCAAAAAGGACCTAATTGTTTGGTCATGCCTGCTTTTTAATTGGTATTCTGGTTTATTTTCAAAACTTCAATAAGATATTGAGTTCTCTGAGAGCCAAGTCTACTTTTGGTAGTTGTGAAAAAAGATTTAGAAACAACAGCTTTTGTTCGAGTTATCTATGACTATGGATAAGAATGATATTCTATAAATGATACCTAGATACCTGTACAAGGGTGTCTTATCGTGTTGGATGTTTCATTTTTTAGTTAAAATTTTGTATCTGACACCATATCCAGCCATGTTGTATCCAGGTAACATGACTCCCATCAATTAAATTTGATGGTTCAAATTATGGTGTTTGGCATTTCCACTTCAAATTTTTTGTTGAAAGAAGATCTCAAACCCACTGAGAATGATATGGAAGCTCTCAGACAATGGAGGAATGACAATGCTAAAATTACTTATAAAAATGATAATGCTAAAATTATTTCTTGGATATTGGGTTTGATGGATTTGAGTGTTGGGATTCCCATGCATGGATTACACTACCAAACAGATGTGTGAATATCTTGAAAGGGTGTATCAACAGTTTAATTTAGAAAGGAACTTTTAGATTGAGTATGATATTTTGTTTTGTGCATAAAGGGAAAAGAAGATTGAAGAATATAATCTGAGTTTATGACTCTGGTTGGAATTTAAGATGGCCAACTTAGATGCTTAATTTGGTTGTAACAAGGTATCAAAGAAGATCCCAGATGAGAAGTGAGTTATGCAATTCTTCTTGATGTTGAGACCTGATTATGAATTAATTTGGGTCAATATTTGAATGAGGGTATTCTTCCAGACGTGTATTCTGTTCTCAATGAGTTGCTTCAGGAGGATACATGCATTACTATATGGATAATGTAAGAATGGAAGGAGATGGGGGCTACTGTTTGATAAATAAATTTAAGAGAGAAGCATCTATTTTGGAATTTTTTGTACATAATGTCATGTATACAAGGAATATGAAGATATTGCTTGACATTACCAGGGAAGGATTTTTTTTTTTTGGTACTATGAATATAATGACCATATTGTGAGTGTACTATTGTAACATAGAAGGGCTTTTACAGAGAAAGGTAATAAGGCTTATTGGGCTACTTGAGATGATCATGGGTCAGAAAATAAGGTAGATAGTTCTCCTGTGAGTCAACCACCTCAGCCATGGTGTTTGTTTATCTGATGAAGTTTGTTGGTTGGTCCAGAATTGAATGCCCACGGCCATCTCTCTTCATTTATAACCATTGGATTAACTGATAAATGTTCCTGCTTTTGCTCTCCATCCAGTCCAGTCCTTTGTTGATCATTGATTTTGTCAATTTGGGTATCAACCATTTTACTAGTAATAGTCATAGGTACTCACATTTTGCATGCCTTCTTTAGCTTCTGGTTCTTTTCATTTGTCCAATGTCTTTCTTGTACCTTGGTTGTCTACTAATCTTAATTTGGTTGTTAAGTTAATGATGGTAACCTCGTCACTTTTCTTGCGAAGGTGAAAGGAAGGGGCATAAGATTCATTGTAGGAGTGATCATGGGCTGGGCTCAGGCCCAACCAGGCTTAGCACATATGATAAGGGTTATTGCCCAAGCCTTGCTTTGGCTAATCCCCTGTCCTGGGCTTGAAACATAAACCCAGTTCCAGGCCTACAATTTTAAAACATTATATTAAGTATATAGTATATTTTATATTATGACATATAACATCATCATCATCATCTAAGCCTTGTCTCAACTTATGGGGTCAGCTACATGAATCCTTCTTCTCCAATCTGTTCCATTTAGTGCCATATCCACTGTCATATTATGGGTGCTTAAATCATTTCTTGGTACTTCCACCGAAGTCCTTTTTGGTCTTCCCCTGGCTCTTCTAGCCCCTTCAACTTGTAACAGCTCACTTCTTCTAATGGGATCTTTGATGGTCTTCTATGCACATGACCAAACTGCCTAATCACCTTAGTCTTCTTTCTCTCATTTTATCACCTATTGGAGCTACTCCTAGGTTCCTTTGTATGACTTTGTTTCTGATCCTATCCTTTCTGTCACACTAATTTCTTAGACATGTTTCTTAACTGCCCAACGCTTTTCTCCATACAACATAGCTGGCCTTGCAATTGTTTTATAGAATTTTCCTTTTAGCTGAAGTGGTATTTTCCTATCACATAAGACTCTGGATACACCCCCTCCATTTTTTCCATCCTGCTGGACCTGCTCTAGTATTATGAGTGACATCTTCAATCCCCTTTCTTATGAATTATTGAGCCCAAGTAACGAAAAAGGTCACACTGGATTATCTCTTGGTCTCCAATCATAGGTGTATCCTAGGTTTTCTCTCCTATTACTATTAAACTTACATTGCATATATTCTGTTTTAGTCCTACTTCTTTTAAAACCTCATGTTTCTAATGTACTTGTCCATAAACCTAATTTTGCATTTAACTCTTTGTTAGTTTCATTAATTAATACTATATTATCAACAAATACTAAGTACCACGGGACCTCCTCTTGGATATGTATAGTCAATTCATCTATGGCTAGTGCAAATAAATAAGGACCAAGTGCTGACCCTTGGTGAAGATCCACGGGACCTCCTCTATCATAGATTGCTTGATTGCCTTTGCTTTTGGCAAGCTAGTTTCCTGGGTGGCTGCAGGAGATTCAGGCTTCAGTCCTCCGTTCTCAGCTGAGATCTAGGAATTTTCTTGAGTTATGATGTATTGTAGTTGTTAAGTGAGTTTCGGCTCCTTGTCTTAGGGGCCTTGGTTGTAATCTGCCATTTTTGGCTATTTGAATAAAATTTTACCTTATCTTTTATCCAAAAAAAAAAGATCCATTATAACTGCAAAATCTGATGTTTCCTACAGGTATTCTAATGTTGGTTTTTTGCACCCTCATACATATCCTTAAGTATCTGTACATATTGGGACTCCGTTTTTCCCCCCTTTAAGAACCCATCATATTACCTATCTAGGGACTCCCATACTCTATCTCTAAATCAATGAAAACCATACGAAGATCTCTCTCTGTCTGTCTGTCTGTCTCTCCCTCTCTCTTTCTCTCGATAAGTAACAAAATAATTTTATTAAACTTGTAAATAAAGTGTACAATAATTCTACCCTTACATATACAAAGAAGCCTTGAGAGTATAGTCCATGTTATCTATGCCCAATTAAATCACATTGCAATTGAGCCCCAAAAAAATTAAAATTTTATTTCTATTTACCCCTTGCCTAGCAAGTGAATCACCCAGGATTCCCAAAGCTGCTACCATCAAAATTCGGCTTTATAATGCCCCTTTATGGATTTGTCCACTGCTTCACCACTTTTTTCTTTTTTGAAGAGGATCTTGCAATTTCTTTTTTTTTGTTCAACAGGATCTTGCAATTTACGCCCAACTTATCATGATATCATCAAAGGAAAATCTGAAAGGGATGAGCCTCCCTAACTGAAATACTTTCAATTATTGCCTCCGTAGTTCTCT